ACATTACATTACATTACATTACATTACATACATACATACATACATACATACATACATACATACATACATACATACATACATACATACATACATACATACATACATTAAATACATAAAATACATACATACATACATACATACATACATACATACATACATACATACATACATACATACATACATACATACATACATACATACATACATACATACATACATACATACATACATACATACATACATACATACATACATACATACATAGATACATACATACATTACATACATACATACATACATACATACATACATACATACATACATACATACATACATACATACATTAAATTACAAACATACATACATACATACATACATACATACATACATACATACATACATACATACATACATACATACATACATACATACATACTTTACATACATACATACATACATACATACATACATACATACATACATACATACATACATACATACATACATACATACATACATACATACATTACATACATTACATACATACATACATACATACATACATACATACATACATACATACATACATACATACATACATACATACATACATACATACATACATACATACATTTACATACATACATACATTTACATACATACATACATACATACATACATACATACATACATACATACATACATACATACATACATACATACATACATACATACATACATACATACATACATACATACATACATACATTACATTACATACATACATACATACATACATACATACATACATACATACATACATACATACATACATACATACATTACATACATACATACATATACATACATTACATACATACATACATACATACATACATACATACATACATACATACATACATACTTACATACATACATACATACATACATACATACATACATACATACATACATACATACATACATACATACATACATACATACATACATACATACATACATACATACATTACATTACATTACATTACATTACATTACATTACATTACATTACATTACATTACATTACATACATACATACATACATACATACATACATACATACATACATTACATTACATTACATTACATTACATTACATTACATTACATACATTTACCCATACATACATACATACATACATACATACATACATACATACATACATACATACATACATACATACATTACATACATACATACATACATACATACATACATACATACATACATACATACATACATACATACATACATACATACATACATACATACATACATACATACATACATACATACATAACATACATACATTACATACATACATTACATACATACATTACATACATACATACATACATACATACATACATACATACATACATACATACATACATACATACATACATACATACATACATACATACATACATACATACATACATACATACATACATACATACATACATACATACATACATACATACATACATACATACATACATACATACATACATACATTACATACATACATACATACATACATACATACATACATACATACATACATACATACATACATACATACATACATACATACATACATACATACATACATACATACATACATACATACATACATACATACATACATACATACATACATTACATACATACATACATACATACATACATACATACATACATACATACATACATACATACATACATACATACATACATACATACATACATACATACATACATACATACATACATACATACATACATACATACATACATACATACATACATACATACATACATACACATACATACATATTACATACATACATACATACATACATACATACATACATACATACATACATACATACATACATACATACATACATACATACATACATACATACATTACATACATACTTACATTACATTACATACATACATACATACATACATACATACATACATACATACATACATTACATACATACATACATACAGACAGACAGACAGACAGACAGACAGACAGACAGACAGACAGACAGACAAGCACACAAACAAACAAGCAAGCGAGCTAGCAAGCAAGCAAGCAAACAAACAATCAAACAATCAAACACACAAACAAACAAAGAAGCAAACAGACAGACAGACAGACAATCAATCAACCAAGCAAGCAAAACAAGTTGTTTCCCCTTTGGATTTGCGGTGCGAGGGGCGAAAATGGTCACCGAGAGCTGTGGGCTAAGGAGCTTCCACACGTCCAGGTGGACGACTCCTCGGCTTTCGGCACTGTCGCAAGCGGAGCGGGGTGCTCAAAGAGTCATGGGGGGTTAACTTTCGAGTTTGTAGGGATATAGTTTCATGTGTTGTGTCTCTGAAGAATATATGATACAGGATCATGAAGAAGGATATCTGATACAAAAATAGCTATGTTGTGTTGGTTATCTTTTTTAATATGGAGAAAGAATAGATGATACAGGAGTAAGAAATATTGCTATGTTTCAGTATGAGGAAATAACAAATGAGAAAAGAGTAGGGAATGTTAAAGTGAGATATGAATTTATAGTCCATGATTCAAGATGCAACATATATTTACAAATATATAGTGTGGGTGCGTACTGCTGTGTTTTACAACAAAAACTATTCATCGTTGAGACACGCCAATCGATAATATGTACCGGGCAATAATAATGCAGGAAAGGCATGGAATGTTGGTGCTTGGGAACTAGACTATTTTATCTACTGCGTGCAGCTAAAAGCATGTATTCTTTTGCCTCTTTAGTTGCTTTCTGGAGGTTGTGTCACTTCAGCCGCTTTCTTGTATGCCAACTTAGAGACAAGGAGCCTTCGGGAAGATTGACCACGCTCAGGTCCATGAGGAGCATGACCTGGACATAAATCAGGACACACCTGGGGGTAGCTTCCATGTCCTTTCTTTCCAGGGATCCGAATCTTTCAAGAAAACCTCCGGAAACCCAGGGAACACGGATCCGGTTCTTGGAAAGAACGATGGTTGAAAAGAAAATGGGGAATGGTTGGAATCGAAATCCAAACGCAGCACCAGTCAGAAACCCAACGGAATGGATCGATTCCCATTCCGCAAATGCCAACACACCAGCGTTTCAACCATGGCTTCAAAGTGCCAGATTTCGGCCACAGCCCGAATAACCCTCCCATGGTTTCGAAAGTGGTGCAGGACTTCGGCCACACCGCGAATAACCATTCACTAACATAGATTCGGCGGGCGGGCAGCTGCAAGGGGGACACAGGAAGCGGTGCCTCCGGACATCGCAAGACCAAAGCTGAACTCCCTCTTCCCACCCTGCTGGTTCCTTCCGGCGCCCTCACACGAGCCAGCCCCTTCCACGCTGAACAAGCCGGCCCCAACACCCAACACCCATGCAGGCAAAACCTGGCCAAACGACTCAAAGAGAGATCCGGACCGAGGCCGGCACAGAGAGCGCACAGAGCATGTAAAGCCAGAACTCGCCCATTCTCATCACGCTGGACCTCGATTCGATGAATCACCGCGCGCCGACCCAGTCCAACCGGCTCCCCATTGACTCACTTTCGACCGAGTGGAATTGGGCCAGAGGTGCCCGAACCGGTGGTTTGCCGCTAAACTGCGCTGCTCCCAGATTCCCCGTTGAATGTCGAACTTTGAAATTTTAGTTGTTCAGTGGAAGCTACCAAAACGCCCTAAAAACTTGAAGAATGGCTGGAAACTACCAAGTAAAATGGTCTTCTCCTAAAAAGTAGTTCCGAAACGGAGCTCGAGGAGCACAGATTTTTTCTACCTTCGCGACAGTGCCACCCGTTAAAATAGCGGGCTTATAGACCCGATTCAATTCATGATACCCTCTCTTTTTAAGGGTAGTTTTTGGAAAACCTTGTATTCAATGGTAAAAACCTCCTTTCTTGGTTACCCAAAAAACGTGGGCATTTCGAGTAGGACGTACTCAGGTACGCCATGGTGGTTCATGTTCACCCAACCATTGTTTCACTGCCCGGAGTATCTCAGGTAACCCGAAGATTCAGGTGATACAGCCCTTCTTCTAATGCAATCCTAAACGGAAAGTAAGGCTTCAAGGCCAAGCGCCCACTTCCGCATTGGTAAACATCGCCCCTCGGCCCTCTTGAAAGGCTTTATGTCTAAGGCCGCTCTCTCCGGCTCCGAGTGGCCTGGCAAAGGAACAGCAGCGAATGCTACCTAACGGTGGGACCCAAGACATGGGAAAACTGAGCAGCCTTAGCTTGGACCACATCTAGTTTGTGTACCCAAGGTGTTGGCATCAACCCACATTGGGGAGTGAAACGAAGGGATCCAGATTGGTTCAGACTCTTGCAGAAACTTTGGGGAACAACCCTGGAAAAACAGTTCCACCCGCCAAGAACCAGGGCTTCAAATCCAAATCCAAGCCAATCCAAACCACCAATTCCGAGAAACCTGATGCTATGTGTCCCATGGAACCCTCAAGAATGCCGGCAAGATGAACCTTGCTGCCCTCTTAAAATGGAACCCCCGCCTATTCATCCACCAGAAGTTGCATTCAACCGAGCCAGTGGTCCAACTGTCTCTTCTTTGCTTTGTTCTGAGCCCGAAAAATGTTTCTTTGTTGGCCCCTTGCCATGGATCTTCCATGTGCTTTTTCACCTGGAAAAAGAATTAATGCAACTCAATTCCCTTTGAAAACCAAAAGGGGGAAAATGAAAGACCACGATTCATTTCAGAAAAAAGAGCACTATTCATTTCACAAAAGGAACACTATTCATTTCAGCAACCTTTAACCGGGAGAAACAACTCTTCTTTTCAGCAAATTGAAGGACTCGACCCGTCTGGGGCGGAGACGTCAGCGTGTACTGCCATCGGAACAAGGACCGCAGGGCGGACTCATGGGGGTTGTAGTAGCGCACCATGCGGCCAACCTCAGCGTGGGCTTGATCAAAAAGGCCCCTGCGCGATGCACGGGATGACCGGAAAAAGAAGAAAAACAACGTGATACAGTCTTACCCCTTAAAACTCCAAGGATTGGGAAGTTAATCTTTTACAGACATATAGCCCGTGTGACCCAGAAAGTTGAAAAGTTGTGTTTTTAAGAGGTAAGGTGACGAAGTCCTCTGCTCGCACCACTTTGAAACCATGGTTGGAAGCCATGGGTTGCTTAGTATTTGCAGGGGAATCGAATCCTTCCAGGGTTTCATGTCCCACTAAATGGGAAAAGTGTCGCACGGTCATGTGAGGGCCAAGAATATTGACCAACCCCCATTTCCGTCGGTCCCATCGGCCCCATGACCCGCGCTAGCATTTCCGTCCGGCCAGAGTAACCCATGCCATAAATTGAGTCAGAGGGTTGTCTTCTTTGGTGTGTCAAGCCCGGGGAAAACAAACCCTTTTACCAGGGGGTGCATATAGGTGTATGTATTGTGTTGGAGTTGCATTTTGTCTGAGTTTCCAGATTTTAAAATAGACTCAGTTCTCTGGGGGGGGTGATTCCCCATTCTTTTCAACCTTAAAGTTCTTTCTCAAAAAAACGCTGTTTTGCCTGGTTTTCTAGAAAGAAGGAGTTCTGGAAAGAATGGCCAGGAACTCCCTAGAATAACTCACTTGGGCGATGTTTCTGGTTCAACGATTTCTGAGCTTCTGGCACACAACGGCCTAGGGCCGGGCTGTCGACCATGCGCCGACGCCGGAAAGGCAAGTCCGGCCACTGAGCCCAAACGGTTTCGCAACGATCATCTCCACGGCAAGGCCTTTGTGAGGCACGTCTTGGTCTTGGAGCCATCCTAAAACCGCTGGGAATGGTTCAGGGACAAAGGAAAGAAGGGGAAAGCAAGGCCATGGTTCGGGCATTCCGAACCCCCGCATCCCCCTTGAGCTCGTCCCGAGTGATGGAACCCCGCACGAAAGATACTTGCACGAAACAGGAAATGTTGAGAGCGCCCAAAACGCGTTTGGGTGCCATCGTGGAAATCAATTCTCAGACTTGGCCTTGCAGCTTGCTTGACGTTGGAAGGGGAGCAACAATTTAAACTTTATCAGTTAAGTGGTTGGATTTCAACCACTAAACCACAATAAGCAAAAATGCCAAAAAAAAAAAACGACAACCATGGCAACCCCACGAGGCCAGCTAGAGCCTCAGAACCCAGCATGGCCTTCGAGGCTTTCGGGGGCCCATTGGGTCTAATCGCTGCGATTCGGAGGGTGCTTGACAAAGCACGGCCCCTTGCGACAATGAGTCTAACGCTGTTGACCCTGAATATTGAAACCTCAGCTTACTAATTTGGGGTTGCGGGTTTTTCCAGAAGTGATGAAGCCCGACAAAAACCAGGGACGCCCGCATAGTGACAAACAAGGGCTTATGGATCCTGGGCATCAGGTAGGGCACCGTACCCAGATATCTGACTGAGGCATTCTGACGTCTGCCCCTTGGAGAAGGCAACATCAGGCTTGGCCCCTACACAGATGAGGCTTGCTCAAAAAGGACCGGACCCCAGCACCTCTTTTCGAACAAAGGTTCCAACACATATCTCTTTTGCCTAGGTCCTCCAGTAGAGAGGTTAGAACAGGGTACCAACTTTGTTCTGTAGTCTATTTTAGTAGGGAAACCTCCCCCAAAAAAGGGTAAAAGGCCAAAACTGGGGGACCCAGTTGCACAACCCTTGAATTGTCCAAAGCGGTCCGGGGAGTTCGCCCTAAAATTTGGATCCCTATCACGAGGTATCTAGGTACATGCAGACTAGTCCACCAAAAACGGAAGTGCACAAACTTCCTTGTGGAAAGGGGGCGTGCACCAAACATGCTCGCGGCTGGGAGGGTGTATGTTTTACAAAAAGCCATGCCGCAAAAAAAATGGCAGTTTCCCCATGGGAAACACGGCCACCTTGTTTTCATGCCTCCAGGGAAACTGTCCAAAACAAAAAGGAATAAGCAACACTGCACATGGCTTGGGGAAATCCAAGGCAAAAGGCGGCTCTGTGCTTCGCCCAACCTCCGTCTGAGAGATCACCACCCGCTTGGGGGAAAGCTGCTCCTAGGGAGCGTGTGTTGACTGCGTCGAGGCAACAGGGCCACCACAAAAAAGAGCAAACACACCCGCCTGCCGCACAAGATCTGTGGAGCAATTTGGGTGTCTTTCTTGAGGTTGGACCCCCCCCAAATGGCTTCGGTTCTCAAGAATGGGAAGAGGGGAATGCTCCAAACAGAGACAGACTCATTCGGACCTTTGGCATTTCCCAAAAAAACGGGTCTCGCCAAAGCATGTCGGGGGTGGACCAGCCAAGGGACCGTGGCTTTTGCTGTCCTGCAATCGCCCGGAATTCGCCGAAGCCACAGCAAACCAGTAAGACAGAAAGGGAGGCAAAGAGGAAGATCATGAAGTGAAAAGAAGCAGAGAAAAAAGAACAAGTGAAAACGAAAAAGAGAAAAGAGAAAGGGAGAAACGCAGAAAGAGAGAAGAGAGACAAAAGCCCAAACTATCCATGAAACTAGCAGGCGCGACTTCCAAGGGTTGCTTTGGTTTGTTTGTTTGTTTTTTCTTTGTTTTTTGCTTTTGTGTTGTTGTTTTTTCCTTGCTGGTTTCATTTGAGACCACTGAATTCACCAGGCTTCCCTCCTAGGCCTCCGGGCGCCGTCGGTGAGGCAGGAGCCGAGGCCCAAGCGCCCCCCGGCGGCGTTGCCCCAGGTGAAGCACTCCCCGCCTCGCGATTTTGGCGCCAGCCCGTGACACCACAGGGGTCCTTTGTGGAAAATCGATGGAGTTCCGTGGCTCAAAATGAAAGAGCTAGGGCAAACCGCAGGATTAGAAATGGATGGGTTTCACTGGTGTAGATTGGTTTCGTTCCCTGTTGCAAGGGGAAATCCATCTGGCTGTGGCTCAGAAAACCG